GCTCGTGAGAAAGCCAGAGGGTTTTCCTAGGTTGGATTAATTTGAACTTCAGTCCCAGTGTATCTTCTATATTTTCCAAGATACTCAGTCTTTTTGGACTCTTGCTGAAAAAAGAATATAATGAAGACATTAAGTTTATAGCTTTTTTAATGTCTTTTGAAGAGTCTGCAGCTCGTACTAGCGCTAGTTGGAGTAGATGGCCTCTGCAGTGTGTATAGGAGAGATTAGGGTTACACTTTTCTCTGAGCAAAGCTTGTGCTCCACCATGTCTTCCAGAGAAGTTTGCAGCTGCATCAAATGCACAAGCAGCCATCTGTTTGGGGTCCAATTGACAAGCATTTAACTCTTCTAAGATGTGGGTTGGCCACTGTTGTTCGTTGTGCCACCGTTCACTCCATCGCTCTGTTGCCAATGGCCCTGCGCCGTCACCTTCTGCTGCCACCTGCCACTGTGACCTCTGCGAGTTGGTCTCTTGAGGTTCCACCAGCTCTCAGTGATTTCAGCTGAGCTCTCAGTGGGGGAACCTCACCGCTAGTGCAGTCTCGGCTGTCCCTTCCACAGAAACACTGTCCCCACAGCAGGACTAAGCACTTAGACCTGATTATCAGTGATTTCAGCTGTAACAAAACAAAAGACTATCTGTGGAGTCTAATCAGCTCTGTCTTTAAACAGTGGAGAGGGGCAGGTCAAATAGTACTTGTGACTCAGGCAGACCATCAAGCAAAACAGCTGTCCCCAGCCTCGCTCTTGATGCCGTCTATCAGCACAGGTGAAGTACAGTTCTACTACCCTTTACTCGTACTATAAGAACAACACTTCATTACCCCCCAGACGAATGTAAATACAATCTGGTCCGGAAGCCTTTCTCCCCAGCCCCAGCCCATCACTAGCTGTCAGGGAGCGCTCATTTAGACTTCGCTTACAAATCATCGTTTGAAATGATGAGGTTGGCCAACAGCACCGGAATGAATGCCCCGACATTGTCATCCAAACAGCAGCCGTAGAAGGAAGCGAGTCTGGGTTCAAACTTTTCAAATCTGTGACACTTCTTCAGATCCGCATATTTTATCATACCCTGTATATGCTTTTAAAGTGTGTATTAATGTTTCATTTTCAATTCAAATGTCCAAACAATCACTACATTGGCAACACTGCATGTAACTAGTTCACAAACTGGGGCTGTGGAAATTCAGAGGGGTGTGGGGAAATCTCTGGTTTCTATGCCCCCCTCATGCTGGGGGGGGCCCAGGCCCACCCCCTGCTCCGGGTTTGGCCCAGGCAGCCTGGGCTCAGCAACCAAGGCGGCTCCTGGCGCCGCTTCCCACCTCCCAGCTCTTGTGCTGGTTCCCAGGAGCCTGTGTCTTCCCCCGGGACCTGCCAGCTCCGCCCTCGGACGCTGGGCCCTGCCCCTTCCCTGTGGCTGCCTTCAGGCTGCCTTCCCTGGGATCTCCCTGCCTCCTCTCCAATGGGAGTTTAGCTGCTACCTGGCCAGCGGGCCTGGGAGAAAGGGTGGATTCCTTCCTGACCCCAGGGCCCTCCCCTGGTGCCCTGGAGCCTGGGTGTGGATTCCCCCTCGCTCTGACATGGCTGCAGCTCCAGACCCTCTGTGCCCTCCCCACACCTGCCCCCGTGACTGGGGTGCCCCAGGCTGGCTCCCTGGGTGGCCAGGGACCTGTTGTGTGCCCGGGTGGCCTGGGGCTGGGCCTGTCGCTCAGCTCCTCATGGGGCAGCAGCTGGTGGGGGCCAGGGGGCACTGTACAGCTGTCTCTGTGTGGGCGGGGTCTGTGCCTTCCTGAGTCCCCCAAGGCGCCCCGTTGTGCCAGCCATGCCCCTGTCTCCGTGCACAGACCCTCCTTGAGCTGCTCTGCCACAGGGCACCTCTGGCTGACGTCCCACCCCAAGCCCACCGCACACCCCACAGCAGGGCCTGGGCTTTGTCCTGGCCCTTCGGCGGGGTGACCCGTACCCCTCGGAGCTTGCAGCTCCCCAGGGCTGGGTGTCCCAGCCCCTCCCATGGGGGACACCACCCCAGCTGGGGGGTTCTGGGATTCAGCCCCAGGCACCCCCAGAATTCTCCCTATCCTTTGTGGGGCTGGCCCCCCAGGTGCTGCATGGCCCAGCTCTGCATGTTTACTCCCCTAAATGCTTCTCCCCAACCCCTTCCCCTCCCCATGGTGCCCATAGCTGCCCTATCCCTCCCTTGGCCACTCATGCCCCAAACCCCCGGTGCCCACTGACCCCATTAGCCCTGGCCCCGCCCCGGGGCCCACAGCCCCGCTGGCCCCACTCCCAGTGCCCACAGCCCCGCTGGCCCCACCCCCCAGTACTCCCAGGCTCCCTGGCCTTGCCCCACCTCTCCCGGTGCCCCCAGCCCCATTGGCCATGCCCCCTGGTGTCCCCAGCCCCACTGACCCCTCCCATCTCCCCAGGACACGGACATCCAGAAGAAGATTGACCATGAGCTCCGGATGCGCGAAGGTGCCTGCAAGCTGCTGGCGGCCTGCACACAGCGGGAGCAGGGCCCCGAGGGAAACCAG